GCAAATTTTTTAAAACGTATAGAGATTTTTATAACGTGCCTTTTTTAAAACGTATAGAGAATCAATATTCTATCCAACCAATATTTTGTTTTGCAAGGCCACTTGATTATCATAGTCTCTCCGTAATGTTTAAGATTTCTGTTCCATTTTTTTCAACTTTTACCGTATTTCGTATGTTGGTGTTTTTGATTTACATAGTCGTGTTTTTTTTTCTCTCATATTATTGACTTTTTGATTTTGATACCGTTATTGAACTCGGTCGTGCCTTTTTTAAAACGTATAAAGAATCAATATTCTATCCAACCAATATTTTGATTCTCTATACGTTTTAAAAAAAGCACGACTGAGTTCAATAACGGTATCAAAATCGAAAAGTCAATAATACAAGAGAGAAAAAGACACGACTACGTAAATCAAAAACACCAACATACGAAATACGGTAAAAGTTGAAAAAAAGGAACGGAAATTTTAAACATTACGGAGAGACTATGATAATCAAGTGGCCTTGCAAAACAAAATATGGGTTGGATTCAACCTTAGTCTACTGAGCCAAAAGCCGAGTTTTTAAACATGATACGAAATAATAATAATAACGGCAAATGACACCAACATATAAATTAATTCCTCGCTTCAGCGGGTAAAATGATGATATTCACTCTTTTCGGAATTGTGGCTCTTCTCTCCCACCGGTAGATTCGATATTTAATGACGATATAACAATACGGTGGTTAATATGTCGTTAATTCCGCGGCCGTTAGGCAATGGTTAGTCTAAATTGTCGCGCGTGTGTCGAGATAAGGAATCAGAAGTAAATACGATATTACATAAACGAGCTGAAAGAAAACAACAAAAAGAGCAAAAAGTTTTAATTCTACGAATACGGTCGCATTCTTCGAATGATAGAAACTGGCGGTACCAACGTAAGTGGTATCTAGAGAAAAAAAAAATGAAGTACGGAAAACGAGAGTAACAGAAAATCAAATTATCTAAGTCGACCAGTATGGCCCAAAGATTGCACGAATAACGAATATAATTACAGCGGATATTTGATATCGCGTAAAAAAAAGAAACATTTTTCTCGGCAATGCTAAACTAGTAACATCCACGTTCAAGAATTTCGGTAAATTACGAAAGTGACTTCGTATGTTAAGACTGAAAGATAAATACGATAATGATCAATAACAACCAAAAGAGAAAGTCAAGAGCTGATATGCTAAACAATAAACAGGTCCGGCAAACGGTCAAGCTGAGAAAAAAAATTATGTTACTGAGCGATACAGCTCAATTACCCATTATAACGAAAATTTATACGATGAACTGCGATTTATCGAAATTTATAAGATACGGGAAATCAATATTCGCTCGACAAGATAGACTTTTAAATGACCCGTTATTCTGATTCCTCAAACATTTCTTTTGCGACGCGACATTTAACTCTATTCCTCGAAAACTGTCTCAACTAAATTATATACGGATATGTATTTCAATGTTTACGTCGCGTCTAGGCAACACCATCTATAGACAAGGCCTCTCCACTGAAATCATGACGTCATCATTAGTAGGCCATTCGCTATTCTATTTTCAAGTGCCAAGTATATGCGATTGAACTTTTATATATAATCAAAATTTTTTATTGTAAACTTTTTAAAAAATAAATATATACTTACACATTGTGGGTTAAAAAATAAAAAAACTAATTTAAAGATTATTAAATTACTTT